TTATGTAAAGATGATAATAAATAAGAAAATTGTGCTTGAGCAGCAGCACCTGCATGTATCATAGTCCAATCAGGTAACCATTGAAATTTTGATTGTTGTTGATTATAGAATATTAATGCATTAATAGTTGAACAATAATATGGTATAAAATAAAATGCATATATTAAAAGTTGAATTAATGGAAATCCAGATTTATTTAATATATATGGTTCATAATTATAATAAATACTTTTATCTAACATTGGAACTTTTAAAGCATGTAATACACGAAAAATTGCAAATATAATAGCAAATAACATATATATAATAAAAAATATATCCCAATAACGATAAATTAATGATTTATTTATTTTTTTTCTTTCTTGTTGAATAAAATTTGAACGTAAATTAAATTGTCGTACCATAAAAATAATTGGAAAAATTGTATAAGGTATATTTAATAGATATGATGGTTTAATATAAATTCCATATTGACCAATTGCAGCACCACCAAGTAATACAATTAATGAATTAATTATTGAACCACACCAATATAATGATAAAAAACGAAAAAATTTTGTTTCAATTTTTTGTTTTAACATACAATATAACATTATTAAATATAATGTATAATGTATTGTACCATCCCAATAATTAATATATAAACCATGAGAAGTTTTTAAATAAACTTCACCTTGATTTAAATAAAAATGAAATGCTGATGAATAATTATCAATTGTTAATGCTAATAAAAGATCAGCTATAGCTGTAAATGAAAATATTGTAAATATATAAAAATATATTTCTTTTTTTACATATAATAAATGTTTTATTAATAAAAAATATATTAATGGTGCAACTGATATACATATAATAGCACTATAAAGAAAAACATTCAAAGAATTTTTCATTTGTTGCATATAAGATAATATATAACATATGGGTATAGATAATAATGATACACCTATAATACCAATTATTATACGAATAGCTGATACAGATTCAATTGATTGCATTTCAATTTTATTATTTGTTAGATTTGATTGTGAATTAATATCATTTATAGTATGATTAGATATTTTAGAATTTTTCTTCTTTGATCGATACATTGTTTGAAATCTATTTGATATGATATTATTTAATAACTAAAAAAGAAAACAAGTTAAATATACATACAATACAATAAATATATTCTAATATTATTATTATCTTTTTTTAACTAGATCTAATTTTTATTGTTGTCATATGATATTTTGTGAAACAAAAAGCATTTTTCTTTTTTTACATTTAATTGAGTAAAATGTTGAAAAGAAAAATGTAGTATAATTTTCAAAAGTAAATAGGTGAATGATTGGTTGACGTAGGTAACCAGTCTCAAATTATAAATCACAGGTAATATCACGAAAGAGGATGTCCATAAGTTTTTTTTTGTGCATTTATTTATTGTAATAGCGGTAAATAAATATAATTTATTGCTCGAATCATTTTTGAAATTTGTAAACTCTGAAAACATTCGTACATTACTAATGTTATTTCAGATAGAAACATAATTAAATTGAATTTTTGAATACTATTATAATTAAAATGTATTCATTTAGAAAATTGTGTATCATAGAAAGTATATATGAATAATCAAATATTTTAACTATATTAATAGGTACAATAGATCTAATTGTAGAATTAATTGAATAGAAGTGTCTCGAAAGTATTGACTAAGACATGTTTTATACTACATACGTGTCTTAACTAGATGACAGACATATTAATCTCTATGAAATAGGTATGACATCGTTTATAATGGATAAAGTAATAAATACATCGAGTCATTACTGCCACTGTCGCATAATATAAACCTCTATAAATAACATATTTCTATCAGACGCGTCGCTAGATACTTTATATTGGTAAAAATGTGTGTGCAAACTAAATCTCGATGATTTTGCAATAATAAAGACTTCCGCTTTCTGTAGAAAAAGCTACATATGATATAAAATCGAAAGTTTTTTTTAAGACAAACTCAAATCTTTCAAATATATAAAATGACACGTTAAATTTTGCAAAGACTTTTATCAAAAATTTCTTTATTCTATAGAAATAATTTCAATATCAATAGAAAAGAAAATTATAGATCTTTCTCATTCTATGAAAATAAAAAAACAAATATCGATAGTTTCGCAGTGCGAAAAATTCTCTATTAACTACATTTATTAATGGAATGCTACTGGCTTGAATAACAGTGTCCAACTCTATACTATTGATAAGATGTCAGACTATTAGAAATTATCAAAAATTAGAAAAATATTGTAGAAATCGGTTATCAGTTGGTTCCTTTTGAATGCTTGCTGACACATTCATCATTAAAGTTTTATGATTAGAAGTGTAAGCCGAGGGGTCAAACGGCGGCGGCTGTTTTAATAGTCTAATTTTTTTTCCATGGCGGCGGCACCTACTATACTTTATGTTTTTTTTGCACCGGCGGCGGCTTTGACAACCAAAAAAAGACGTTTTCGCTTCTAAAATGCGAGAAAATAACTAACCACATATGTATCGATGTCAATGGCGGCGGTGCATCATACTATTATCAAAAATTTTCGCTCGTGGAGGCGGCGGCTGATTTTTGAAAAAAAATCGGGTGTGGGTGTGGGTGGGTGGGTGTGGATATGGATGATTGTGGGTGTATGTCTGGGTGTAAGAACAAAAGACCGACACACCCACACACGCCACACCGACACCCACACCCGCATCCACACCCACATCCACACACCCCACACCGACACCCACACACCCACACACCCACACCGACACCCACACCACCCACACCCACTCCGACACCCACCCACACCCACCTCACACCCACACCCACACCACCCACTCCGACACCCACCCACACCCACACCCACCTCACACCTACACCCCACACCCACACTGACACCCACACCACCCACACCTACTCCGACACCCACCCACACCCACACCCACACCCCACACCCACACTCCACACCCTGCCCTGTGACGGTCTCTGGTTGTAACCGACGATGGTAGATGGCCGGTCCGTTTCGGTGAACGATTCCTTACCGACCTGTATTTTTTTGAGTTTTTGCGGGTATTTCTCAAAAGAATCTGCAGAAGAGTGTTTTATTTTCGCAAATCAAACAATTTAAAATGATGTCAAAGAGTTTTTCAGTGTAGAAAGATGTACCAGGCTATTGTATTTAATCGAAATTCATCATAATATGCTTCTCACATTTTATCAACTCAGATTCATATCAATTTATATCATCAATATAAATTAGAATAATCATTTAACATCACAGTTATCATAGGTTTAGTCATATATTCCCTGTTGTTGATAGAATACATTTAGTGCAGACATGAAAGTTAACAAAGCAAATATAATGTGGGAAGTAGATTTAATACACAAGTAATAAATAACGTCCATTTCTTATGAACAGTTAATGAATGTGAAACGCTGATATGAAAATTGTAGTGCTACGAAGTTTTCTGTTCAGCATTACATACAAAGGGACGAAAAAGACTGACGTAAACAATTAGTGACAATTACCAAAAAAAGGACTCATATCATTATTGTGAAGATTAGGACGCAGATACAATTCATCGAAAGATGGATTTAACGAGTATAGAATCGCATAGACGAAGAATCAGTCATGCTATTATACCAGTCGATCGGTTCAATCTGATCGCTTCTACGGATACCAGTACGATAAGAAAAAATTCTGCTAGTTCTAATTCTGTTGCAGACGGTTTTCAGTAGTGACTATCTGCCATTCAGTTACAAAATAAAATTTCATTAGTCGATTCTTCTGCACGATAATTATTTTCTGTGTTGGAAAGAATCAGCAATGCTAATGAAGAAATCCGACAATCAATAACAGACTGCTAGGATTTCTCATATTTAAGATCGGAAGACTGCTGCTTCGTCTACTCATGGCAAAAAATATCGAAATTCAGGTATAAAACATGCGCTGGTATGCAATTATCAGTGTATATTTTATCATTCTAACAACATAGAACGTATAGAAAGACAAAAAAACAAGGAAAAAAGGCATTGAAAGAACGACACATACACGAAGTCGAGCACGTTAGTGAGCAAGCCAGTCTACCTGATGAAAATGTTATGCTTCGTTGCTTCGTGTATACACACGCAAGTGGAAAAAAAAACCAAGTAATTTCGTCCACGATAAATAAAAGAGTAAAATCAATTGCAATCATACAAAACAAAACTCGCACGCTCCAGTATCACTTCGCACGTAAGTGTGTTTTATGTTCACCTTTATTAGACTAGGGACGAAGCGTGATCTATTTCTTTACTCTTTCAATGTATATTTTATTATGATTAACATTGGCAAATTGGAGGATTAGTGTTACCGACATCCTCTGCATAGATGTTCACTACACTAATCCATCACTTCAGTTATGTCTACTTTACATAGAATATGAGCTTATCTACAATAGATGGAACCAGCAAGAAGAGAGAAGTGAGAACATATGGAAGAGTAAAATAAAGGACAGAGTGAGCAGACGGATACCGTTAGTCCCATCAAGTCCTCATTATTAGTAAGTTATGCACTTGATTGGTGCCCGATAGTTCAGAACTTTTCTTTCTAGCGTATGAATTCGACTAGTTGTAATATTTGATAGCATGATATTTGTTAGAAAAGCCATGAATTTGCAGCAAATTTCTCTTTTTGCACTACCATAATTACAGAAGTTTATCACTGAGCACTGAAATTTATTCAAAAAATATACTCTGTCGATATAACATATGATCTAATCAGTTAATTATGGAAAATTGTTTGCACTCAATGGAATCGAAGAAATACTTACCACAATTAGTTGTCGCTATCGTTTTTTAGTAACTTATCAGTGTTTAAGACGGATCATTTGGCTCTATTGTCACTGTACCAATGGCACTCGATGAAGGAAAACACATTATGCTGTCATATAGCTGGAGTAGCAGAGCTTTCGTAGTCAAAATTCGCGATATTCTAGTTGAAGACGGTATGAAAGTTTGGCTGGATATGGACGAAGGTATGGGAGACGACAGTATCACCAGGTATGGATCTCAACACGACTGTTTTTTCTTTTATGTTCAAACTTGTTATATTTTCTCGGTTAGAATGGCTGAAGCAGTAGAAAATGCAGCAGTTGTTTGTTGTTTTCTTACGCCAAGTTATCAGAAATCAATTAGTTGTCAAGCTGAATTAGAATATGCCTTTAACCGCAAAATACCTATCATTGCATGTATAGTTGGTGATAAAAATGATAAGACATGGCAGCCCTCTGGCTGGTTGGGATTTATAATCAGTGGTCACTATTATGTAAACTTTAAAGACGACTCTGACTCAAACGTTCAATTGAAAGCAAGAGAACTTATTGACATAATAAAAACACAATATGGACCCCAAATCGTTCAAAATGACAACGATTATCCTCGTGAAGCATTTCCTCCTTTACTATCTATAACAAGTACTCAAAATCTCAACGAAATTTTTCAAACTAAACTTGAATCTCATTCAATGAAAGATTTCAAAGTAAGCCATTAAAAACTATATAAAATAAACTAAAAAAAAAGATAAATCTTTTGTTTTTTTATATAGAATTATTTTCTTGAACATGCTAAATTAACAGAAAAAATCGAATGTGATGCAAATGTATTATTAACCGATGCTCATCTTTATGAATTAAGTCAATTCGATTGGCCTCATCTTGAAACAATTCGTATTCGTGCATGTCCTCATTTAACACCATTTGTTATGAATTATATTGAACAGATTTCTAAAAAACAAATTGATCGACAAATAAATACTGTAAGATTTCTAAACAAACATTTTAATCTTTAGATCTATTAGCTATGAAAATTCTAAAACATCTATTAATTAATTATTCATTTTTTTTAGAGTGTCGAATTAATATTACACTCTCATAATACAATAGAAAATAAAAGCGATTCAATTGATAATACTATTGCCCAACTTGAACCATTCTTTGGAAAAGTAAAATTTTTTCTATCCTTTTTGTTTTTTCAATTACTTTATTACAATATCACATTTGTATATTGAAGAGTAAGAAAATATCAATAATAAAAGTCTTAATTTATCATGCTAATAGTCAAAATGATTCTATGTTATCATCAAAACATATGATTATAAATCAAATACAAAAATCAAAAGAAAATTCTTCTATGTTACTTAATTATTTATCATCAATACATGATGAATGTCAAGTAGCATTTCTTGAATGTGCCAGTGTAAGTTCAATGCTAAATTTTTTAACGAACCAAAAAACAAAAAAAGAAGATTTGTTTTATTTGTAATTCAAGTTCATACTATTCAAAGAATTATATACAGCATTTCATCCACAAATAATCTATATGATTGTTTCGAATGTTGACGATCTACTCAAATGTTTTTTCTCACTTGATTGTAATGCATCATATTCAATTTTAGTAAATAAGATAAAACAAAAAAAGACAAGAATATTTATTTTGAATAATTTTAGCAAAAACAACAAATTCGATTAATAATTCTTAATAACAACGAATCTAATGAACAATTTTTATCTAATATATATTTACAATTAGAATGTCTTTCCAAGTCAGCTGATGAAATTTATTCACAATATATTAATGAAACACCAGAACATATGTAAGTTTAAATAAATATTCAATTTGTAAAGATCTTTGAATTTTAATTTTTTTTTTTTTTCAGAGAAGAAAATGATGATTTTCGTCGCAATCATTATCTTACTAGTCTATTACATGTTCAAACAAAATGCACGATGTTAAAAAAGAAATTAAGTAATGATCAATGTTTGATATTTCGACAAAATGTAAGATTATTCAATTGTTAACATAATTTAATAATATATATATATATATTCTATCATAGGATTCATCATTAATAATAAAAGATTCAATCAAACATTGCAAACTTTTATATACATTTGATAGTATTAATAGTATTACAAAAATTGAAGAAAAAACTAAAGTATTCGAAACCAATGAACCAATAATGAAACTTGTTAGTGAATTAACAAGTAAAGCAAAAGAACAAAATTTAGATTTAGCAATACAAAGTTCAACAAAAATAGCACAAATTTATTATGCATATAAATTAGTTAATGTAAAGAATTAAAATTTTTATCAATTTGTTTTTCTCTAATACTAACAAACATTTCCTATGATTTATTTTTTTTTTTTTTTTTTAAAGGATCAAATTCTCGATCTGTATTCTATATCGAATGGTAAATCATATTTTATTTCGGATATTCAATGGTTTTGTGATATAATTAATAATCTTTTTAATATTGAAACACATATTAATCGAACAACTGAATCTATTTTAAAACAAACTCTTGGTACAAATATTCATTTGATTTCAAAAATTGATTTGAAAAAATTAATAATTAATACAGATGAAGTATTCAATCATATTTTATTTTTAATTTATTTTATAATTTTTTTTTTTTTAGATAAATTTCTTTCAATGGTTATTCAATACATGGAATATTGCTTATCCAGTATCATTAATAGATCAAAATGATAATAATATATTTGTTCTTTTTAATTCCATATCATCAGAATCATTTGTTCCTTTAGTAAATACATTTATTTTAATGATCATCTAACGAAAAAAAATATTTTTGTATTTATGTTAGAATACAATATGGAGTAAATCATGGCCAGCAAATGAATATGAATTCGAAATTTATTTTCATTTATTACATCCATGTGATATATCAATTCTCTTTCATCTTTATAAATTATTTCCATCACAAAAATTATTGCTTGCTTCAAAAAATTTCTTATTAATTCAAGAGGGTGCAATAGAAATTTTAGTTCAATATCATCATACTAATCAACAAACAGGTATTCTTTAATTTTAATAAACTATTGATTAATCTATATTTTATTAGATATTAGTATTACTTTTCGTGCACTTAATTTAAGTATAACAGATAGAAAAACTAGATTAATACAAGAATCATTTCAATATGTTCTTAGAGAATATTATATCATTATTTGGGCATTTTTATTTAAACATGATTATGCCTTTAAAGTATTTTTTTTTTTTGTAAAATAATTAATTGTAAAACTCAATTTTTTTTTTTTTTTTTTTCATATATTTAGATCGAAGAAAAAAGTAAAGATTCTTCTAATCTTTTTGAACGAATAAATGGTAATTTGAAAAAAAAAAAAATAATGTTACAAAATTTTTGAAACATAAATTTATTTTAAAACTAAGGTAATGAATTGATGTATCATCAATGGAAAAATTTGGCACTTTATCATTATTCACCAACACCTACTCTTACTTCGACTTGTACTGTATGTGGTCTTCGTTCTACAGCAAATAAAGCTCTTTATGTAAAAAAAAAAAGAAATTTTCTTCTCTTCAATTATAAGATTTGATCTTTATTGTAAATTTTTATTTTTAAGGATTCATGTACAATATTATCACCTTCACGATATACAATAGAAAAGAAAATTGATACAAATGAAATAGATATGAACGAAGATCAATCGAGTTCATTAATATTTCAACTTGATACAAATCCATTTTCTTATATAGGCAAACATAGTATGAGACCAGATGGATGTAATTCATTTGAAGTTATGTTTTTAACTACTAATAATGAGAATGAACAATCAAATTCTCCAATATTCTCATCTATTCATATAGGATGTTTAATGTAAATAATGAATATAGATTTTTCTTAAAATTGAACATCTTCTTATTAATTTTTTCTTAGGAATAATTTTGATATAAAAGATGATGAAAAAATACTTTTTAAATATGGTAATGAAACACAAGAAATTTATAATGGTTTACAGTTACGTATTAATGTATTATTTACTGATAAACCGGTATAATCTATTCAGTTTTATTATTATTATCTAATAAATCTAGATTTTTTTTATTTCTTTGAATAGAATATTTATGAATTAGTATTATCAATTAATGATATACCATGGTCTCGTCAAACAATCATACGTAAATCAACTCAAACAATGCTTCAACCATTTATTCAAAGTTCAGAAATTCATAAATTTGAACAAAATATTCATTTGATTATCCGTTATAATAAATCTGCACTTGTTTGTTTCGTTATTTTATGCTTTTAATAATCAAATATTTTCTATATTTGTTAGGATAAAGCAATTATTAGTCATTCTACATTAAATACAACAAAAAAAAAACCATGGAAAGTTGGTATGCGTCTTGAAGCGAAAAATCGAAAAAATCCAACTATATTAGCTATTGCTAATATTAGTAAGTTTTTTTTATATGTTTTTTTATGTTTTGTTGATTCAAAAATATATTATAGTTGAAGTTTATGATGATAATCGTATACGTATCAATTTTGATGGATGGACATCAACATTTGATTATACAGCTGAAATTGATAATTCTGATTTTCATCCTTGTGGTTATTGGGAATATGTTCAACGTGTTTTATATAAAAATGTGAATACATCGAAAATAAATCCACATTTTACTTTTACTCGTTATGATAAACCAAAATGTAAATATAGAAGAAAAAAAAAAGGCTTTTCATTTTAATGTATTATGAAATTATATTTTATTTTAGTTTATAATGATTCATTTAGTTGGCGTAATTATTTAACAGAAAAAAATCAAGAACCAGTACCATTCGAATGTTTTAATGATGTAAGAAACATTTCTTTCGAGATGAATTATCAAAATAAAACTTAAATTTATCCAATATCAAATAATTTAGATACAAACAGAAGGCATGCCTATCGAATATTTTCCACATGGTATAACAAAACCTACATTTACTTGTCTTTCATGTCGTTATTTTTATAATGTCCGAGTTAAATATCATAAAATGAATACGATCATTCAAAACGAAATAGTTAATAATATACTTTATGAACATCATATAGAATCAGCTAGTCCTACATCAACCACAAGTCCAGGTGTAGTTTTATTGCCAACACCATTTGATATATCAACGTTTACATATCCATGTTTAAAACAATTTCAATACTCATCAGATTTGTTGGTTCATTTAACATGCAATCATCGAAGTAGAATGAAATAATTTTTAGAAGTGATCCCATTATTGATTTAATTTGATTAGGTATTTCTCCATTGGACTCAACAACTATTATATCGGGTGCACATTTAATGGATACTGAAGGTGATCAAATACAAAAAGACGAACTTTCTATGCCACTAATTACACTCTGTATGCTAACTGCTATTGATCTCGCTCGAAATCAAGTAAATTTACCAAGACAAATTTATTTTTCATTATTTATTTATTTTTTTGCTTTAAGAAACGTCCAATAGCACCTTTAACATCAAAATTAATTTCAAATAATAATAATTTATTTGACAAACGTATTATTGATTATTATATAAGACGTTGGCTTGATTTAAGTGCTTTTATAACATGTTTTCATTCAACAAGTTTTTATAATAGAGGATCATTAACAGTAAATTCATCCCAAGCAAATGCTATATCATTGTATACATCATATATTGATTCTGATTTATTTATTAGTCTTAATAGTGGCCTTTCATCAATAACAATTAATTTCTCAACACAATTAAATACAACTAAAGAAAATCAATTTGGTAAATATGGTGAATGTTATTATTGTTGTTTACTTCGTAAAGATGAAATAAAAGAACAATCCGATATATCATTAGAAAAACGTTTAGAATTGATTGGTGACTATGCATCAAGCATATTTTATCTTGAATTATATGAAAAAGAAAAAAATTTCATTAAAAATGGTTTAATATTAGATAATGATTTTTTTCTTAAATTTAATGGTTTAGAAATTATTGATATAACAAATATAATTATTGATCATTTTCAATTAAATAATGAGAATATATATTGTTTAAAAAATCTTGCATATCTTTCACTTGAAAATAATGATCTTTCAACGATTGAAATTGATTTTAAATATCTAAATGAATTAACCTATATAAAATTAATTGAAAATCTATTTGAATCATTACCATTGAATTGTTTATCATCAAAATCATTACAAACTATTGAATTATCTAAACTTGGTCGATTAATTGAAATTGATTCTAATACAAGATTTTCATCAAAATTAAAAACATTGTTAATTACAGAAAGTATATTAACAACATTACCACAAACATTAGCAATAGATGCTCAAAATAAATTAACTAAATTAACATTAAATGGTGTTCCTTGGTGGGGAGCCACTGGCTTGAATGTTAATGAAATTATTAAATATGATTCATTTCTTAAAAAATTTGTTACATTTCTTGATTCTGAAGAATTAGGAAAAATTTATCGCATGTATGATGCAGATGTTAATGGAGTTTTATCATATTCAGAAATTAATTTAATGAATGCTCATATATATCGTTATATTCCACGATTAAGATCATCCAATACAAAGATTGTAAAAATCATATTTTATTTAAGAGTTTTATTTTTTTTTGGTGAAACATGATCTAAAACAAGTCTTGAAGTATAAACATAGGAATTTTCATTTCTCACAGACGTGACAAATATCTCTTGGAAACTATTACCTATATTATTAAAGACTGTTATAGACTAGTTAGCTGCGGATCCACATTTTATGCACTCAGACCTAAGAAAAGCTAAACTTCGGAACCTGGACCCGACATTCAATTAAACTTTGTACCCGCCGTTTCCTACTACAGACCAGGGCAGACAAACATAGTCACCAAACTAAAATATACTATATTGTTATTAACTAGTTGCTTAGAATGGTAAATTATAATAAAACAGTAACATATATTTTGTCTGTCGCGTGAAAGAGACTATAGATTAGAGTCTGTCGGACTTAAAGTTTTAGGATCCGAACCTCCTCGAACTGTACTTTGATACTTTCCATGAAATTTTCCCATCGGCATCGAATAGTTGCTCCAAAGATGAGACATGATTTGTTTCCTTTTTTTTTTGTACTTTTGTGACTAGCACATTGTACATAATTCTGAGACGACTAGTCTATCGAGTGCAAAACTTTTGGACTCGGATTCAGGTAGCAGAAAAATTTCAAACGCAGACTCAACTGAGTCTGGGTTCATAACGAACCCGACAGACTCTAGCGTAGAGTATATACAACAGCTCTCCTGCCACCACACACATTGGACAATAACGTGGACGTTAGGTGAAACAATGAAAGCGAGATTTTTGATGTTTTGAATAATGCACAGCATACTTTGGCTCATGATCAATTAGATGAAGCGAAAGATTTTGTTTCAGCCCCTCCGCTTACTGGAAAAACCTTGGTCACAAAATACGGACACTTTTCAGCGATCTCGTAAAAACCTCGCAAAAAAATCATTTTTTCGGAGAAGGTAGGAGGAGTGGACTAACGAATTATATACATCCTAAAAGTAGAACTTCGGCTCTATCGATACGTAAAAAAGTTTTTGTTTTATCTGTTTTTCATTTGAAAAAAAGAATCTTTCTTTCTGCACAAAAGGGTTATCCAAAAAGGGGTCTTCAGTAAAGTAGCTTTCCCCATTTTTTCCTAGCTCCAATTTGGATGAAACTTTCACAGATAATACTTCTGTAGGTGATACGTCTACTATGTATGCTCTCGACTCAAAAGCATATTTCGACAAAACTAACGACAGATTCAGAATCAACGCGAGCAACTGCATCGAATAGTATATAATTTGTTAGGTTTTCAAATTAAAAACTTTTTGACGAAAATTTCGCGTAAGGATCCCCTCAGGCATTTTCGGTCAAATTTTTTTTTCAAATTTCGCTTTTTTCGTCAGTCATTTTGTTCTAAGCAGTAGAAACTAACATTTCTTCGGAAAAAATACGATTTTGACAGAAAATAAGTCATGCCCATGTGCTCTATAGAAATTGATCACTGTGTCTTGAACTCTGAAAAACCAAGGATTTCTAGAAAACTAGCTTTCAAGAACCTCTGAGCTCAGGAAACCACTTCATAGAACAGAGCACATATGAAAATCCGTAAGAAAAGTATTTTGAGAATATTGGAGTGTTTTATAACCAAATGTCCACGTGCCTATCAAAAATTGCCCACTGTGGCTACAGGCTGCGGCAGACGTTGATATACGATCAAAGATCGTATATCAATAACATCTCGTTATAATATATGACCTACTTCCTTATTGTATTTCTGGATGACTAAGTAAAAGAATGATGAAGAAAAGTGTCCCAATAAAACCATCTTTCCGTGATTAGCAACAGAAGCTAGATTGTGTTTTACATTTTAATCTCGGAAAGATCACACAAGCAGCTTTCTTTCTATATTTTTATTTTTAGCCGAATTCTGGTCGATCATCTGTTGAACCGACACATACAAATGAATCTGATATGTTTAAACAAGATTCATTTAGTACTGATCTATCGGGTATTCCATCGGCAATATTTTATCTTGAAAATTTAATTGAACTTACAATTGAATATCAAGGAATTAAAGTTGTACCAGATGCAATCAAAAATTTAAAACATTTAGTTATATTTAATGTAAATTATTGTATTGAACTTGAGACATTAAGTGCATATGTAGGATTTTTACCACTTCGAGAACTTAATTTAAATGGATGTGTTTCATTAAAAACACCACCAATAGAAATTACACGTCGTGGTCATACACAAACCATGGCATTTTTAAAACGATTGATTAGTGGTTCAACACCATGTAAAAGAACGAAACTTATGTTAGTTGGTCTTGGTGGAGCAGGCAAAACAAGTTTAGTACGTGCTTTTCTTAAATCACATTCAGATAAACCACCAGAAATTACCGATGGCATTGATATTGTCAAATGGAAAGTACCATTAAATCAACCTGATGATTTTCTTGAATTTAGTGTATGGGATTTTGCAGGACAATCTGTTTATTATCATACTCATCAAGTAAAATAGACAAATTGTTTTTTTTTTCTTTCTAATGTTAAAAACTCTTTTTTTTTTTTTTTACTATTCTTAATTTAGTTTTTTTTGGCTAAAAAAGCTGTTTATGTACTTGTATGGAATATTCGTCTTGGAGCTGAACATGCTGGTCTTGATTTTTGGCTTTCGTCTATTTGTTGTCATGCACCCAATGCACCTATATTTGTTGTTGGTACACATTCCGATTTAGTATCTCGTATTGATCTATGTCAAGATGATCTTAAACGACGTTATCCTCAAATAACTGGATTTTTTAATGTTAGTACACATACACATGATAATATTAGGGAATTGATTGAGGCTATTATTAAAACAACATTAGCATTACCTTATATGGATGAACAAATTCCAAAAGTATGGCTTACTTTTGAAAAATTAATTTCTGAATGTAAGGAGGATATACTGAAATATGATCAAGTAGCAGATATAGCTCCTAATGCTGGCATAATTGATCCAGGTGAAATTCTTCAATCTGTACAATTCTTAAGTGATCTTGGTTCTTTACAATATTTTTCTTCGGAACATTTGAAAAATTATGTTGTTATTAATCCACAATGGGTTATTAATGTTATGGCTTGTATTGTTAGTATTAAAGATAGTCCTGTCAAAAATGGACGTCTGTATCATTCAGATATCGATGTTATTTGGAAAAATTATGATACACATTTACATCCTTGGATTTTGAAATTAACTGAAGCATTCGATTTAACATTTCCAGTACCTGATCAAAATATGAATTTAGTACCATGTCTCTTACCTGAAGAAGAACCTGAGGTTTGTCGATACATTTCTTTTTTTTTGTTTTTGTACATAAACTAATGTTAACTAGTTTCAATTGAATATTTTTAGTACACATGGAATAATGATGTTAATGAAACAGAAATACGAGAAATGAAGATTACTTATACATTTAATTATTTACCAGGTATGTCATATCGATTTTACATCAGTTCACGAAGTAGTAGTTTCGCCCAATTTAAGATTCGTCTGAAGATTTTAGATGAATCTTAGATTGACTTAGATCAATGGCGAATTGAATGGTTAATACGACTAATCTCGAATCAGAATGTGAGTGTGGGTTTGATTGTTCTCTTCATCTCATATCAAAACAATCGAGATACAAATTAACATTTTTCTTTTTTCGAAGCTTTTTTTAGCATAACAGGCGATTCAATTTTATTTTACGAAAAATAATACAAAAATTATTCAGAAAAATTAGAATTTTCATTTATTTAATGTTTTACATGGTCGTAGATCTATTTAGATAGCACTGACGAGGGAACCTCTCGAGGTGTAAAATTGCTTTTCGCTTGAAAGTACTACCATTAGATAGGTCTCGGTAAGTAATGAAAAAGTCTATTTGGGTTTCGGTGCATGGTGTTCCTGGGCTGAGATATTGACTTCTCAAGTTAGACTGGAATCAGCTAAAATATCAAGTTTTCAAGTTGTGAAAAAATGTGTCATTTTTTTGAAAACTTTTGTTATCTCAATCAATGCTTGTCGTATAGAATCCATATTATTTCATCAATTGGTGGATATGTTGATGGTGATCTTCTGAAAGTTTTGTCTCCTTTGTGTAATTTTCTGAGATATAGATTTGAAATAATTCTCAATATAATAGTTAAAAATGACAACTCTAATTTTTTCATGATGGTTATATTGTTAGAGGATAACCCTGGTAGTATATTCTTTTTTTTTTCTTTCTTTCGTTTCTCTTTTCTTCTTGTTATCTATTTCTTTCATATATATCTCAGGTCATTTTCTTTATTCTATTTTGTCCTTATGTTTTGAACCCTGGACATAGTTAAAACATATATGTAAAGGGTGTATACTAAGTTCTGATCTCCTTCAAGTAATATTCTTTTCTTCCATGTTTTTTCAGTGGAATAGGATGATATTTGCAGCGTATATACTAGACATCTAAGTCTGCTCTTCAATAGAGTTTCAGCTTTCTGCCAATTATAATCACAGAGATATAAGTAACTTAAAATTCCTTGAAATTTTTTGGAATAATGGGTAGGTCAAAATAAATGACAGCGTTTTGGATTTTATTTTCTTATCATCTAATACGTTTTATTAAAAAGCAAAATATACCACAAGATGTAGCATGAAAAACTCTGCAACCTACATAATGAAGCTTATTTTAATTGTGCACCTTTTGTTTTCAAAAAAACGAAAACACTGTGCGACTGATTTTTGATTTTAGAAAAAGATCACTTTTTTTCTACATGAACGAATTCCTTTTTGTTTATTTCAGCTTTTTATCACTTCTTACATTTTCTTAAAAAAACAGAATATGCTACAAGATGCAGCATGAAAAGCTCTACAATTTACATGCTAAAGCTTATCTTAACTAGGTACCTTTTATTTTCAAAAAATGGGTGACCAATATTCGATGCTACGAAAAGTGCACGCATATTTTTTGAAAACAAAAGGTATACAATTAAAATAAGCTTCATTATGTAGGTCACAGAGCTTTTCACGCTGCATCTTGTGCTATATTCTGTTTTTCAATATAACGCATTGGATGATCAGAAAATAAAATCCAAAACGCGGTTATTTATTCTGGATTACCCATTGATTATTTAAAAAACTCCTATGAGTTTTAAGTTACTTGTATCTCTATGACTATAAAAGATAGAAAGCTGCAATTCTAGCTAGAGCACATCAAGATGTCTAGTATATACGCTGCAAATATCATCCTATTCCACTGAAAAAACATGGAAGAAAAGAATATTACTTGAAAGGGATCAGAACTTAGTATACACCCTTTATATATATTTTTTAACGATGTTCAGGGTTCAAAACATAAGGACAAAATAGAATAAAGAAAATGACCTGAGATATATCATATCAAAGAAATAGATAACAAGAAGAAAAGAGAAACGAAAGAAAGGCAAAAAAAAAAGAATATACTACCAGGGTTATCCTCTAACATATATCAATAGAATTTGTGCTTTTGTCATTATTGAAAGACATTCTTCTCTATCCTACACAGGTTTGACCATGTCCGTAGCTTTCTCCAACTAGCACGCTATCTATGTTAAGCCTCTGACTGCTACTCCATATTTCTCTTGTGCCGTATAGGGACAGAAACGTGTTTCAATAATGACAAAAGCACAAATTCGATTGATATAACCATCATGAAAAAATTAGAGTTGTAATTTTTAACTATTATATTGAGAATTATTTCAAATCTATATCTCAGAAAGTTACACGAAGGAGACAAAACTTTCAGAAGATCACCATCAACATATCCATCAATTGATGAAATAATATGGATTCTATAGGACAAGCATTGATTGAGATAACAAAAGTTTTCAAAAAAATGATACATTTTTTCACAACTTGAAAACTTGATATTTTAGCTGATTCCAGTCTAACTTGAGAAGTCAATATCTCAGCCCAGGAACACCATGCACCGAAACCCAAATAGACTTTTTCATTACTTACCGAGACCTATCTAATGGCAGTACTTTCAAGCGAAAAGCAATTTTACACCTGGATAGGTTCCCTCGTGAGTTCTGTAGTTATAACGAAACAGATATTTGGAATACTATGGCTTGATTTAGACAATATTTGAACTTTTTATTAACACGAATTGATTCATAGTTAAACAAGTTAAATGTTTACTAGATCTAGATCTACATTGAGTCAAACAAAAACTTCAATTGACTAAAATTTTTCATATCTATCGTGTTCTGGGCTTATTTATATATCTATTTGGTGTAAATTATACCAGTATAAAGCTAATTTAAAAAAAAAGGACATGTTGAGAAAATATAGAGATGTGCAGATTTAGTGTACTAACCATCAACACATTGTAATTGGTACACACTGACACCAGTATTCACTGAAGCATTGCAATACACTGCTGCAAAAAGAAAGACATATTCTGATAGAGTTGGTATCTTCATCGCCACAACACTGCACATTCTTAAGCACACATATCATAGGAGATGTAGTAGATAAAGAAGTTGGAATGACTTATAACTTCAGAATGCCATAAATGACTTTAGAGTTTCTTCAATTTATTTAAATTCTTAGATTTATGTTCGGTAAGTATATAATATATTTTGATTGTATTAGAAGAAAATCATAATATAGAAGAGCTAGTTCACATTTTCAGTTATGTATTTATCTGGAAATAAAATCAATCTTGCCTGCTGTTGTTTGAATCGAACTATAGTATTCTGAAGATTTATTTCATTAGCTACAGAACTTTGCATTATTTGAATATTTTTTTTAAACATACTGTATGGTTTTTTTTTCATAGCGGGTTTATTCAATCGAGCACAAGTTCGTCTTTTTCAATTTTCTGATAAATCAACAATTTGGCGTTATGGTTCATTATTGGTGAAAAATAATCATCGAGCAGTTGTAATTCGTTTCGATAGTTTGTTTGAAATGTTTATTTACTTTTACATTTTATTTAGAATTTCTTTTTGTTTCAGATCGTCATATAATCATTAAAATTCAAGGTGTTCGACCACATAATGTTCTGTTTTTAATTCATGAAGTATTTGAAGGTCTTGTTAATGAATCATTTTCTGGCGTTACGTATGATATTGCTTTTCCATGTCCAGATTGTCTTGATTCAGTATGATCTTTTATAATTACTATCGATTTCAAAATATAATGGGCTTCATTGTTCTTCGAATAACTTTCGATAGGAACATCATAGAGATCTGCAGTTTTCACCATTCAAGAGAGAATACTCAGGTCCACCGAAATATATCAAAACTCAATTGATCAGTAATAGAATAATCAGGAAAGTTTTTGATGGAGATTTCCGAAAACCATATTCTGAAGCTATGTTCCTTTCGATCCACAAAACACCGATATTCCTAATTTGTTCCCTTCGAGACTTATAAGAATTTTTCTGAGATTCCCAATTTCAGGCCATTGATCTGTAATCGATCATTCTGAAAAGTAGTTAGGCAGAAGTAATTTTCCATGTTGAGTGAAATGGAATGTAATGGCAGGATGTGTGGGGGTGTGTGTACGGATAGAGGACCTACGCCCACACCCAAATCTAACTCTAACCGTTTCGATTATCATCAGTAATAAACATATACACAACAATCTATATAGGACATAATATGAGGATATTTGTTTTTAGATTCGAACTGATCTAACACTTATTTCAGTATTTTTGAAATGTTGACTAGTTCATTATGTTGAGGTCGTTTGTGAAATTTCAGAAATATTGAAATAACATAGTCAGATTAGTTCTAACCTAAGAATCTATATCATTGTTGGACTCAAAAGGATGAATTACCGCTCTCTAACATAAACTAGGAATGTTTACTTTGAGTAGATCGAAAGAGCAGAACTTTTTCTATCGATTGGTTCTATGAATAGTCTAAATCAAAATGAAAATACTTTCAGAATATCGTTTTCGAAAAGCTTTACTAACATCTTACCTGCCTATTCAATAACTAGCTAACGAACGAGATTTTGCTGTTTTTCTATCACTCTAGATCTTCTCTCTTGAATGGTGAAAACTACAGGTTTCTGTGATATTCCTATCAAAATTTATTCAAAAAACAGTCGAATATATTATATTTTGAAATGGATAGTAGAACATATAATCAAATAAATAATTGTTGCATTCCTTTTTTAGCGTATAAATGAACCTTGGCAATTTCCATTTTCACTTATCAATCGAGCTATTGAACTTAAATCACCATTTATTCAATGCCATCGATTTTTTCATGTTGCATCTGTTACTGATTGTAAGATTTCTAAACTAATTTTGATTGAGCATATTCTTGATTCATACATGTATTTTATTAATAGTACAAGCACTTATACCACCCGATAGTAAAAGTAATTATGATTTACATTTAGAATATTCTGTGAGTGATCTTAAATCTTGTAAACAAAATATGGCAGTTGATATTGTATATATCTATCCATCCGAACATATTCCAACGGCATTAGAAATCAATAGTAAAATTGATCCGAGAAAAATACAAAATGATTTAACAAGTATACTCTAATAAAAAAAAAAAAATTATGTTTTATTATATTTTCTGATGAAAATTTAGAACGTAATTTAACTGTTTGGACACCGGAATTAATGAAAGATTTTAAAATTGAAAATCATTATTTAGTTATTAAAGAAGCACGATCTATTATATTTGGTGTTTCAACAGAATTAGTAAATAATGTTGATAATAAAAATTTATATGATGCTTTTCAAATCATAAAAAATATTTTACGTAAACCAATTATTCCAGTTTTATTTGGTAGTGATATGAAATGGCAAGAAAGTAATATTGGTATTGCATTATCAGATACATTATATGTTAATATGCAAGATCCAAAACAATATGAACATCGTATAAAAGAATTAACTAATAGAATTGAACGGGAAAAAAATAAAAATAATAAAAATCAACAAATGCGAGATCAACCTACTGATGCTTTTATAAGTTATTGTTGGAAGAATTCACATGATGCTGTTAGTAAAGGTATACAATGATCTAACTATATTTTTTAAAATATATCATTTTCTTCTATTTTTACGTCTAGGTACAAAACCAACTGAGACGTCAATCGGTTGGGGAGATCCTCGAGTTTTAAGAGTATTTTCTTTCTTGGTAAAGTATTTATTATTAATTGAGAATAATTTTTATTCGGTAGGATCGTCTTGAAAAATGTGGATTGAATGTTTGGATGGATATTACTCATTTAGGGAAAATCGGTGTACTTCATGATATTGTTCATGTATGATATTCATATTTGTTTTAAGTTCACAGTTCATTTTCTTTTTTCTTTTTGCTAAGGGTTTAAAAAATACAAAAGTTGTTATAGCATGCGTATCCGATGAATACACACAAAGTGAAGTTTGCCGTAATGAATTTTTATTTGCAAAAAGTACCTTAAGACTTCCTATTATATTGGCTATATTTGGTACTGGTGATAAATGGCGAACAACAGAAGTTGGCATGTGTAGTCTTACATGTTCACAAGTGAATTTTCAATTTGACAATCCAAATGCTTTTGACGATATCTATAATTATATCCAAAGTAATTTACCTAAACAACCAACTTCAGCTAGAGAAACTTCATTGAACGCCATGACAAAACCAGACACTGAAGAAAAAACTATAGCTGCTTATCAAGTCTAAATTTTGAAATTAAACATTATCGCTCAATAATCATAAATATTATTTTCTTTAGGAATTATTTGAATTAACACAACGTAAATTTCTTCGTGTAACATGTGGTTTTGCTGAAACGATGAATGCTCGACCTTATCCTCGTTTATTTGCTGTTGATTTTATGAGGTATAAAGACAAATCAGCACAAGAATTAGCTCATATTGAAATGGCTACTCAAATGAATACACAACAAGCACAACAGGATGACAAAGACAATAAAGAACGAGATCTCGAAGTTGACCGACAACGCGATGAAGAACTTTTACGTGAACAACAAGAAGCTGATGCAATTGCAGAAACTGATTCTAAAGAAAAAGCAATCGTCAAAGATAAAGCTAAAACATTATGTATACGTACACTTTGTGAAAACGAAGAAAATTGGCATCCAGCTGGAAATCCATTTGAAATTACTGAAAAGATTATCATACAAAATAGTACATTATATTTATCACGAATAATGCTTCTTCTTAAACACAGTAATTTAGAATTAGAAATTCTGAATAGTGATGAAGGTGAAATTGAATTACAAAAACTTGATGAAGTAAGAATAGATGTTGTGGTTTCTTTTATTAATTCACATTTTATTTTATTTTCTTCATAAATAGACTGCAAATTCTATGACTATGGAGATGAAAGATTCTTATACATATTTACGTCGATGGATAATGGATTGTGACTTAAAAGAAAAATATTCTGGTCTGAAACAATGTCTTATGCCATCAGGTAAAGTTTTATGGCTTTGTGAAGAACATCAAAAACAACCACGTGTTGTACTTGTTACCGGTTCGATTGCTGTTGGTTATACTGGTCCAAAATGTGAAGAACAGAGTGAAATAATGAAAGCATTAGTGAAACTTAATGAACGAAGTACATATATATATATATATATTCATTTCTTCTCCCATTTCACCAATTTTTCTTTTACTTTGTATAGTTGCCAATAATGAATTACCTCCTCCTAGTGCCAGAATTTCTACTACTGAAAATGTTCGTCGTTTATCAACACAAAAACAATCACATAGTAGACGACTTTCACATCAGTATAGTCAGCAAGAATCTTCATCAATGAAATCTCAAGGACAAAGTACTGCAATAATTGATAAAAATATTGAAAAAAATGATGATGAAAATATCGAAACAACTTCGAATGAACTAGAAAATGAGAGTACAAATCAAACACAAGAAGATAGCACATTAATCGAATCGACAGACTGTTCAATTATGTGAATGTGATATACCGATGATTATCGCTATTTAGGACAGTTGATCAGAAAACATTTACTTACTCCTAGAGAGTTGTAAGTGTATGCTTTTGTGGACCCAGATCCGTTTTTTTTCCTCTAATATCTGGCACACACTGTGTACATGAACAAGTAAAGGATCAAGATATTATCTATTTATTCGCTGCTTTCAGAAAAAAGTCAACGTACAGTTATTGCTTGTTGTTCATTTTTTCATCACTCGATACTTAATAAATCATAATCTTTTGCTTATTTGAAAAGAGCATTACGTTGACAAAAAAAGGACACTGAATAAGGACGTCGTTTAGGTGTGTGTGTGTGGATGTTGTTCTGTTCCTCAAAAACACACTCACATCCTTTTAAACATTCATCACTGGTGAACTATTACGGTCATTTGTGAAAAGGCTTGATAGAAACATTCGATTTATATAATTTACAAAATGATGTTTTATTCAAATCAAATGATAGTTTTTGTAATTTTGTGAAAGAAGTTTGTGATGAAGTCGAAGCTGATATACTACGAGTTCAAGGTATACGAAGTGCTCGATGTTTAATTAGATTGACAAATTTATCGGATATACTCAAACTTGTTTGCAATGAAGTTAATGAAATAAAATCGAATGCTTGTTTTCGATGCAAAGATGATGAGTTTATTAACAAACAAGGTATGAAGCTGAATTTAGATATTTCATTTGATGCATAAAAAGACAAACATGAAAATTATAGAAAAACAATATCAACAACAACGACAATAAGAATCATTAGTTGCAGTTTCAGCACCATCACACACTAAAATAAGAGTGTGGGTGTGGCTAAAGTGAACACCCACACTCACACCCTAGACACATCAAGTGAACGGTTAAATCGTAAGTTTTATTTTTTTCATAAACCTTTTTTTATTTATTTATTGATATTCAGCAAATGTTAAAATCGTAAATTCTATTTCATAAAAAAATCTATGTTTCTTATTTAGAAATCTGAAATGAACGACACCATGGTAAGTTTGGTAGCATTGGATAAGTCTATTCTTATGTTTCATTTTGTTTGTGATCGAGCAAAGGTTGTTTAATTGATCGAATATTTTTTTTTATTTCTATTTTAGGTCTACGTGAATTAGTATTTGATTATGTAGTTTGCTTCTGCAACGTTACGTTTTGATGTTGGCTTTTATGAAGGTTACGAAAAAGAAAAGTTGAATAATCGCTCGAAGATGAGTATATATAAATTTTTTCATCTGGTGGAAAGTGTGTATTGAAGCAATAATGATGAATGCCGTAACTATTAGCTTTGATGTATCGTATGACTTGTTATGGGTGTTATGAGATCAATAGCATTATTTTGCTCATCGAAGTTCTCAAGCAAAGCGTTTATTATATGAAAAGCATTGTGTTTCGTATGTTATATGGACTGTTATTACAAGTGAATCAACGATCTTTTGAGGTAAAATCAGATTATACTAGAACCTTTAAAGGTTAAGAAAATAGTATCCAAATCTAGAACTCTTAAAGGTTCAGCTTGACACTCGTTTTTTTAGTGTTGTGGGAAACGCATCAAAGGTTCGTAAAGCACCGGGAACCTTCAAGGCGTTTATGAGCGGTAACCTTCGTTGATAGCTTTTTAGAGTTTCAGATAAGTTTTCAGAAGCTCTGGAACTTATAAAGAGTTTCATATAGTGAGAAACCCGGAAATCCTCTATGGGATTCCGACAAAACGGATTATTTTACAGTGTACCCTACGGTCAGCTGGGTGTGAGTGTGGAGTGTGGGGTGTAGGTATGGGTGTGGGTGTGGGATGTGTGAGTGTAGGTGTGGGTGTGGATTTATAGAAGTTGATACCCACATCCACACCCACACCCTTTATAGTATCTGTAGAAAATTCACTTATTTAATTGAACAGAAGAACTCCTCTGTGTGAAGAAAAATTCCATCTTTACAATGATGTCTTTTTTAGCGAGGTGATTACAAAACAGCTGAAGTCACATATAAGGAAGCATTAGCAGCGTTACAAGAATCATTAGGACCAAAGCATATTGAAGTAGCTGAAGCGTTCAATTCAATGGGTCTCGTATTAGAGAAGAGAGCTGATGACGATGAAGCAGAAGAACTCTATGAAAGAGCAATGAGAATTGCGGGAGATACATTCAGTCCTAATCAAGAACATTATGAATTGGGTATCTATTACAATAATCTAGCAGATATTCATCGAAAAAGAAATAATTATGATTATGCTCTACATATCTATCAACGAGCTTTGAAAATGATTGAAAAAACGCTTGGTTCTGAACATTCAGAAGCAGCCGAAATCCTTCACAATATTGGACTAGTTCAACATCAACTCGGTTAGTTTGAAAAAAATAAAACTGAGACATACGTGAGAGTTGTATTTTATTCTATTTTTTCCTTTTTAGGCAATTATAAACAAGCCATTGTTCATATTAATCGAGCACTTGCCATTATCAAAAAAGAGTTCAACGACCAACATTATAAATATGGATTTTTTCTTAATTCTCTTGGTCTTGTTTATGCAATGATGAATGATTACGATACGGCTTATGCGCATCTCAAACAGGATCTACAGATTTTATTGGCTACATTAGGTATGGATCATATTGAAATATGTGATGCCTATGCCAATTTGGGTGATATTTGCATGAAAATAGTAGCCGAAATGGATAATAAACCGAAGAATCAACAAGAGAATCAAGAATCTACTGAAAAACAGGTTAAATTGGATGAAGCGAAAAAATACTACTCAGAAGCTCACAGAATCGTTCAGAAAGCTTTTGGTAATGAACATAAAAAAACGAAACAATTTCTTGCGCTTATGTTCATTGTTGATAATTATCAAGCTTTGTAATTAAAAGCAAAATTCACGAAATACCGATTCAATTAATTCTAAACTGAAAAAGACTAAGTAGTATTTTTACAATTAGATAACTTTGCTTGTTTATGATGAAAACTACTAAACATAAAGTAGTATTGAATCAAATTTGTACAATGTGCAAAGCCGTTTATAGAAAACGTGTTGAAACCAGAAAAAACTAGGCAACTGTACTCTTCTCATTTTGACGTGTCTAAGTTATTAATTATGAATTGAACAAGTCATTTGTTACATTATATAAAATGCATCTGGATATGTTTTTCAGTCGAATAGTTTCGCAATAAATACTGAAATATATGTTCTTATAAAACAGCTACATGAATTTATTGTTTGAGTCGCGTCTAAATGAACATCGCATATAAATGTATTCAGACATGACTGACATTTATTTAATGTTTAGATATATAGAATAATGTACAAAAAGAACTTCCATATCATTAACCGAACATGAGCATTATCACTTCCATGTTGTAGTTAAGAAAAATTTTTATGTTTTCTACAAAAAGGTTAATTTTGTTTGTATCTGTATCATAGCGAAATTGATGGTATATCTGAAGAATGGTTTGCTCGTCGGAGCTTATTAAGGAGAACAAATTTTACCTTTGATCTGATCAACATTGAGAATGTTTGGTAAAAATGACTCGAGGGTGTGGGTGTGGGTGTGAGTGTGGGTGTATGGGTGTGGGTATTCCTGCTATTTACACCTACGCCCACACTCACACCCACACCCCACAGCCACATCCTAAACGTATGTATATCGCAGATATTTGTTTATTCCGTCACATTTTGTCGCCGCTTTTATTTTCTACATTTCTTTCGATGTTTTTCTATCAGTTCGTTATATTCGACGGAACTTTATTAATGTGTTAACATCACCTAAACTCGATTCAAGAAAACAAAAATGAATCTCGAAAAGAGAGAAATCTCTTTATGAGAGGCAAAACGCTTTTCTTATCGGGAAGATAACGATCTTATATTGATCCATAGTCTCTTTCATACTCTCACAAGTCATCATCGTCACTGCCACATCCCACTCATAGTAATCTCCACCTGAATTCCATACACAACACAATAGTTCTTGTCTTTAGAAAAATGTTTTTTTTTTTCATTTAAGAATATGTTCTTCTGTATCAAGAATATGTCTGAATTTTTAGAACAAAGTGCATAAGCGAAGCGTGATTTCAAGTAATAAATATCGGGATTTCCCTGAGGATGCTTTTATCTGAGGAAGATCTCTTTATGTGCGATATGTTTGGATGTACACCCCGTTAATTATGCCTTATAGCCGTGAAAATGAATCTTTTCGTAAAAAAAAATGTAAAAATTTTCTTCAAAGCATGTTGCAAAGAAAAACTCACGTGTCCTCAAAATATGTTTTTCTAAATAAAAACTTGAACTGTGATGAACTATCATCTTAAAAATTCATGTAGTCAACTTTTACATATATACAACACAGGATGCAAGACCACTAGTTAATAAAAATTTAGTTACAAATGAGAAGATAATGTAACTGATAGAATTCTAATGAAATTTTTGTTCCTAAAGTTTTTTCCTCGATAAATCTTCAAAATCATTTATTTATGTACTTCATAAACATTCTTTTTCTTATCAAAATTTATGTGAACTAGTGTGAATGATGTTTATTACAAAAATTCAATATTTTTATTTTATCAAAGAATAGTTTGATCGTAAAAGCTTTGAAAAACAAAACAAGTTTATTCAGTTTTTGAATTGATGATATTGAAGTGATAGATAATATTAATCTGCAAAATTAGGAATTTTACTTATTCGACTCGTAAAAAGAATTTGCTAGAATACTCATTTGTTTTTGTCCCCTTATGTTTTATAAGTTTAGTTTATAAAATGTTGATTGGAATTGATGTCTGATATTTTTCTTTTTATTAACTATTTTGCGCAATGATTGATATTGATGTTACATTATCGACTGATTTATACTCTGATAGTTGTGTCGAGAAAAAAGAAACATAGAATTAGAATGATATTCAGCTTTTTATAAAACTCGTTTTTTTTTCAATTTTTCAATGCTGCTTATTCAAATGAAAATTTATTCCATTTCATGATTTCATCATTGATTTTTATAAAAAGTAATTATAAGAAAAAAAATTCAATTATTCTATAAATACTAGAGATATTTACAATCTTCTCTTTAAATCAAACAATGAAATTTATAAGTTGCAATACAAAAAAATTTTAATCAACGCATGCTATATTTTGAGTTTCTCTCGTGATATCAGAAATATACTTTTGTTTACTGATGTTGTTTAAAAGAATTTCTAATAAGAAAATGATCCATGAAAATAAAATAACATTCGAAGAATAAGAAAAACTGCAACGAATTTTTATTGATTTTATCATAAATAATCTATATTCATGTACAAATTTGTCAAAGATTATTATTTGACAAATCATCATAATATTGAAAATTTCTTCGAAAACATACTGAGAAATTTTAAAATTTCTATTAGTAACTTTTCTATTTATATTTAGCAGAGTATACGACTGATGTCAGATTCAATGAGAATTGACTGTTGTCAATATTAATTTTCATAAACAACATATGGATAGATATCTAATAATATTCAATAAATCTATTCAAATGAAAATCATACATTCATAATCAAGTTTATGGAATATATTATAGAATGATTTTTTTTTATTAATAGCATTGTGTTTTTTAGTATAACGAATATATGCCTTGAATTTTATGTATTGATCTAGTGAAAGTGCATGTGCTTTTGTTTACAATGAATTTTTTTTGAGAAATACACAGTTACTCGTTGCTAGCAGTGACTATTGGTGAAGCATCTCAATGTGATTGAATATTAATTTAAAAATATCTTGAAAAGTAATCGTCACTAATGTGGCTTCGAACAATATAGCATGCAGATGTTAATAAAATTATATTCACTTCTTTATCAAAAAAAATCTATTTTTTTTTACTTTTGTCACAAGCTTTCGTAAAGTAGAATAAAAACAATAGAAGGCATCTTTCATATGCATCTTAGACTACAATCATCTTAGTGAGTAATAATAGTATTTAGAAATAATTGATACTATTGTGATAACAATTGTGTTTGTAGGTATTGAAATTTATATCATTACTATGGACGTGATTAGGAGCATCTATAGTTCAAAAAAATTATATAGTTTTAGATTCATATTTAGAATGAATTTTTTTCTTTCAAGTACTTATTTAATAGAACGAATTTGAAAAGTAGGTTATTGTTGAAAATTAATAGATTTAGTTCTAGTTTACATATTGCATGATCAAAAGACTAAAGCTTCAACGAAAATGCTATCCATGAACATAAAAAGTTGTATTAAAATGATGAAACGGATAAAAAACACGTCGGTAAAGTTAGCACTATATTCGCCATTTCGTGTCCGAATTCGCTATGTCACCTGAGTTGATTCTCAATCAAGTTGAGTTAGGTGCAGAATTTTACGCTGAATCCAATGGTACCATTTTCAAGGGGGATCATTGCGGAAAAGGCCAGTTCGGCGCCAAATAGTGCTTTTTCCAAGTCGGCGCTGTTTGTGCTGGATGCCGTTGGGTGTATGGTTGAAATAAAAGTCTAAGACACACACACCACGACACCCCCACTGGATGCCGCAGTCGCATGCACCTACAATCGCACTGATCCTGTGTTAGAGCGACACGCAGAGGTACGCGTTGATCGACGGAAAACTGGGATGAAAGGAAATCGGTGCAAAAACAGCATGAATAAAGCATCAACCTGGAGGATTTAGGACGGTAGGCATGATTTTAATAATAAATCTTCACATGAAAGTATTGATTCACCACTATTGAATCCAATTACACCCTGATAATGCGAATTGCCTTGTTTCGAATATACATGCGGTTCTTGTCCAACAGAAACACTACGCAAAATCAGTATGAGATTTTTACGAGGTTTTTTTGCATTATGATATTCATTTAGTATCGCAAACATTTGACGAAACTCTAGGATAATGAATGAAAGCATGATTTTTTGATTATTTCTACATAATTTTCTATAGACGAATCGAGATTATCAGGTAATGCGACAAGTATGTATTTGTTCTTAAGAAGAAATGCGACAGCAAAAGAAGGCAATTTTTAATGTTCATGTTGGTGACCATAAATTTGATGAAGGATCGTTCGAAAAAACAATTCCTATCTGAAATCCTATTAATTGTTGGGAAATCAATTCTGGTAAATTGTTTCTTTGTGTTTTGTCTTGCTGTTATTTTCGAGATTCTTTTCTTAAAGAGGTATTCTCTGTGCCACCGTCTGAAGATATGTCGTGTAGTATTAATTGGCGATTTTGCTTTATGATTTATCTTCTTCGTTTAATGATCGAATTATTATTATATGTTTTATGGCATTGCATGATTTATTTCTTTGCTCTGTTTCAAGTTTTGTTACTCGTCATTATTTATTTTGTATCAGCTGTTTTTGTGTTGACTTGGTGTTGGTTATATGTATAGATATTTTATTATTCTGGTTGAAATGAGTTGGTGACATATGTACACTGAACGATAATGGTTGATGCTAATTGAAAAATGTTTGTAATTCGGATTGATGTTCATATTTTTCTGACAGAAAATTTGGATGCACACAATCTAAACTAGTGAAACTGTTTCTCTTTCGTACACCTTCATACATATCTTTAAAATGAAGAGGGCGAAGTTCCATTTTGGATTATTTGCGATATATTTTAACAGGTGTTTTCTTTGAATTCGCTCATCGATAATGTTCTTTTATCTGTACTGATGCCTATTAGTAAACGTGTTAGATTTCTTAAACATTTTACTTTGTTTTCTTGCGATCATCGATAGCATACAATTACAACAATATCTTTCTTATCAAGCTTAATGATGATATATTCTAGATCAATTTTATCAGAAGTAGTTATCTCTCTTTTTCTGATATCATTTCGAATGTATATCCCAACTCCGTCATGTCTCTGTTT